TTAGTACAAGTAATGTATTTGAATTTTTAGACCTTGTATTTGGTCATAATAGATTCTTGTACTAAGGGACCTGAATGGAATGATATCATGTATTTATTTTGTATGAAATATGTGTTACATTCAATGTATGGCTTGGGGTGTTACAAAGTGGTATCAGAGCCTGAGTTTAAGAGATTTAGGTATTCAACAGCATGATACCTAGACTTAAACTGTTTTATTGCATGTTAAGGGTCCCGGACATAGTTAGCACCATTGGAAATAAATATGATGAGTTAAAAGAACAGTGTGTAAGGTAAATTTTAATTACATCTGGCCAGTGTAATTATGAATTTACAGGTACACATCTGAACTTGAATACTTCATTATATTTGGGAATGTGAATACGTGATTATTAACACTAAACTTTACATATGTCTAGCCGAACTAGAAGATCTGAAAGAGTGGCTCGTCCAGAATCTGAGGAAAGAGAAGAATCACCCATAAATCTACCAACTAGTACATCTGAAAATAGAGGTCGGGGAAGAGTAAGAGGACGAGGCAGAGGAAGAAGTCAGTCTCAGGGAAGGGGTCGGACTGGAATACATCATGAACATGAAGAATCTCACTCTGGGAATATTCAGGAAAGATCGGTACCACATCCTGAATATATAACCAGGGATATGTTGGCAGAAGAAATGGGAAAGTTGCGGGAAACTCTGACATCTATTATAGGAATACCGGCTAGGGTAGAAACGGAAAGAGTTGAAGTTCATCCCTCTACTTCAGTCACCCACATCAAAGGAGATATTAAGATGTTTTTGGCATACAAACCACCAACCTTTTCTGGGGAGAGAGATCCAGTAAAAGCTATGTGCTGGCTTAAGGAGATGGAATCTGTGTTCAACACCATTCGTTGTCCGGAAACAGATAAAGTTCGATTTGTTGTTTCTGTATTAAAGTCAAATGCTTTATTCTGGTGGGAAGTTGAATCGTCTACCAAAACAGATATTTTACAGACTCTATCTTGGGTAGAATTCGTGGATAGATTTAAGAATCAATTTTGTCCTAAAACAGCAGTGAGACAAATGGAGGAAGATTTCCTGAAATTAGAACAAGGAAATGGAATAGTTCGAGATTATACCGAAAGATTCATTGAATACTCTCATTTTTCCGAACATTATGTTTCAACTGAATTCAGGAAGATAGAGAGGTATATTTGGGGTTTGAAACCCTCAATTAGAGAGTTTGTTATTGCTATGAACCTCAATACCTTTTCATTAACAGTTGATGTAGCTGAGGTGACCGAACGAAATAAGAATAGACAATCAGAAGGAAAGGTTGTTGAGAAAAGAAAATGGGAGGGGCCTTCATCTTTTCGAGGGCCGAAAACTGTTAGATATGATAACAGATCTGAGCAGAAGATCAGTGAGAAAGTCTGTTCACAGTGCCGACAAATTCATCAGGGTGAATGTAAGATGGACCCAAGGAAATGTTATAAGTGCGGCGAAGCATGTCATCTGTCTAGAAATTGTCCAGCTAACCGAAGGTGTTTTAATTGCAATTATCCGGATCATATTCGACCAAATTGTCCTTTGTTAAGAACTCCAGAGTTAACAATGGGGAGTAACGCGTCGGGTACACGGGGAAGACCTACTATGAATAGAGGAGGGCAAGGAGGGGCGCGGGGACGATCCTTCCAAATGACTA